AGGGATTCCTGTAATAGTCTTTCTCCTTTTGACTTTCTTCGGCCGTCTTACCACCGTGTCTGTGTAAATTAGAGACCGCCGAATGCTGGCTTGGCGGTCGAAATTCTCCCCTAATACATGGTAGAACAAGCAAAGCAACATTACTTCCAAGCACGCTGACATCATGCACCTTCTTCCACTAGTTTTGTTGTAGAAATGGAAAAAAAGGCATTAACAAATGATGTTAGCTTGGTCCTACAATGAAGGTTTACACTGAAGGAAGATACTGCATATCGTCACAGTAAGGCTTTAGACACACATATCCATTACACAGTACTGCAGGTTTTGAAAGGAACTGTGACTTCCTCAGCCCAGTTCAGACCTGGTAAGAGCAGCTCTAATTCCACAAGTGAACAGAATCCTTGCTTTAATTTGGCCTTTTGTGGGTTTTGGTATGGTTTTGTTGTTTTATTTTAAAGTAACGAGCTGCAGAAAAAGCAAATCTGCTCATGAAAATGGTTTACGCGGGAACAGACATTGCTATTGGCAACAGCTATTACAACGTCTTTGCACAGCTCCATCATTAAATCACACGAGACACTTCTTTTTCATTCCAAGTTGCTCTGAACCTGTCAAATGTACCACATTTCTGGTGGTGATCTTTTAACATGAATACAAATAAGTACTATGGAGCATGCAGAGATCAAACTGATCTTGTGGCCTCATAAATATTTCAGTCAGAGTGGAAGCTGCCTAAAATTGAAACTTTATAAATTATTAGAAAACTATACAAAGCCAAGAGCTGAAAAAATGTGCATGTAAGTGCACGTTGCCAGACAAAGCCTTATGATGACCATGCGCTGTATCATGATGGGACCCAGAAGCACCACTATCATTAAGCAGCTTTTCTTTAGGAATTCACTTTTGTTTAGAGGTTTGTAATTTGGCCATTTTACTAGTAGCAAGATAAAACTTGCCCTGCAGATTGTGAGCTGAGTTATTTCTCTGTCGCTTCTAAAAATCTAATGACTAAACCCCGTATCTCACATGTAAGTTCCCTTTTTAGGAGTTAAAGCATTTTAAAGCACTGCTAAACGTCCTTTAGGTGACCCATTTAAAACTTAAATGCAGGAAAAACTTGATATACGTGCATATGGTTTTTGCCTTGTACACTTTTTTGAAAATTGATGACCAAATTATTTACCTCTAAAAAGTGATTAATGCACAGTAACTAATACATCATAAATATTATCCCTGGCTGACTGCACATCAGTACGATGTGTGTCGTGCAAACAGCATAGAAAACCTCATTACCTCTACAACAGTTAAAGATACAGTCATACATGAAAGTATAGCATGTGGACTTGTGGAAATGCGAAGAAAAAACATAGCAGTTTCATTCACCATATTGTAAATATAAAGACTCTGACTCTGTTTGACCGGAGCCTTGTGCTCCCATGAGCCACACTTGTGCTAATTGGAATCCTTGCAGCTACAAAGAAGTGCCAGTTTCATCCAAGTTTTAGACTGACTGAAGTCAGGGCAGATTAAGGGAGGAGGAAGCCCATGGGATCTATAAAATTTAGAGCTATGGATCCCACTGGCTTAGTAGAAGCTCTGAAATACAGAGACAGACTATCCGCTGTCTGAGGCATCACCACTATCAGGACGTTAGGATCCTTATGGGGTCAGGGTCAGGACCATTAGGTAATCCTGCCATGCAGGATAATAATTATTCTAGCTACATTATAACAAATCCAAAGAATTTGAAGGAAGAAGTTTTGCATCTCTGATCATATCTTTATCCATTCAAAGGCCAACAATTATGCCTGAGACAGTGAGTTGCAAGAAAATTAAAATACTGCTTTGAATGCCCTGGAATAAAATGTAAATGGTAAGTAGAGGGTGCAAACAAGGAGAGAGTCTTTTACATGAAGCCTCAGACAGCACAAACAGGATGACCATGGGGAAATGTTACTGTGTCAGCTGATCCACAGTAACTTCTTCCCCTGAGCTACCCAAGAGCTAACTCAACCAATCCATCTTCAATGGCTTTTGATACATAAAGGCTTTTTCAAAGCCACTGTGCAAATTTGTAGAATTTCAAAGTAGCAGCTTCAATAAATTCCAACAAGCAAAATCAGTATGTCTTTTTTCTCTTCTCCATTGTCATCTTTTTTTTTTTTTAGAAAATATTGATGTTGATGTTAAATATATTTTGCATATTTAAGGATACTTTTCTCCTTCTGTTACAGGTCTGCAACAAATCATCTAGGCATTCATTACACAGTTTACTCAGTTCCCCTTCATGCAGTTTACTCAGTTTCCTTGGATTCACCAAAAATATTTAAGTATGTGCTTAAATCTCACTGAAGTCAGTCAAGCTGGACTCAAGCAAATGCTTAAATGTTTTTGCAGGATCCAGCCTGGCGCTGATAACCTCCACCATCACCAGACTCCTCCATCTGGAAGGAAAGTTCCAGAACACCCACGAGAGCAGGCACCATTATACATCTTTTAACCCCCAGGATATGTAAAAGCAAAGACTGGCCACCACTGAAAATTCAGCCCAACCCCTTCCAGGCCAGAATAAGCTCAGCCCAGGCACACCCAAAGACTAAAACTGCTTCCAAATCCCAATGTCTAGTCAGCAGCTTGTCAGCCTAATGCAATGCCCCCGCAGCCTCAGGCTATCCAACAGATTTTTCCTACTACTGTATTAGTTGCAATCTGTTCAGCAAAGAGCCCCAAAAGCTGAACTCGTGGAGCATTTATTGCACAGCCACGGGAGAGGCCATTGTAGCAGAATCATTACTAATGCACTGCTGAAAACGGTGTCAATTGCCAGCAGCCTCTTCAGAGGTTAACCTTTTATTTCACACCAGAAGTAATAAAATGGAAGTTTTTTGACCTCTCTTCGGGGAGAGTGAGAAAAAGAGCAAGTGAAGGAAAAAGCCAAATCAAAACAAAAACCACAATGGTTTGTTCCATGGCACGTTGAACAAACGGCACAGAATTTTTGGTCGGTTTTTTCCTGTCTCATCCAGTAACATAAGGAACTTCACAAAATAAAATTACTCGGTGTGTGGGAGGGCAGAGGAGGGGAGCAGATTGTGACTTTTTAAAGAGGAACAAGGACAGCAGCTTTTTTGTGTGTGTTGTGCGTGGCTCGTAGTCTGTTACTGTTGCTTGCCTTGTTTCACAGCAGCAATATAATTATTCCAAGGGAAAGGAAACAGTGGATCCCAGAGACCAGTCCACATAATGCAACAGCAGTCTTGCTTTACTGCCCTCCATTTCTATCCTTTCCGATTACCATGTTTATAAGGGAATAAATGCTCAACAGTACACTTCAGAAAGGTGAAGTGTAATATGCACGTGCACTATTTTTATAAGAAAAGTTGAGAACCGCTGAGTTTCCTGAGTGCAAACCAAACAATTCAGGGGACGCAAGGTTTGCTACACCAGTCGAATTAAGCTGGTTGAAGTCACAAGTGTAGTTCATCCAAACATGGTAATGTTCCCAGTGACACTGAATTAAATCTATCAGGGTTATTTGATCTCTTTTACCTCATTTTTCTTTCTGTGTTTTTATTTCCCCCATATATTTTCAGTATGCAGGGTCATTAAATCAAACAGCAGACTACTCTTTCTGCAAGTATACCGTGTTCCTGCTGTCACAACACCTAAGCCCTGCTCATCTTATCGATTATGTCAGATTATCCGTTGTTCCCATAACTCGGCTTTCTGCACCTGTATCCTACATTCCCTAGATAATGCCAGCTAGCCTACTAACATTTCAGCATTGCATTTATTTTCCTTCTATTAATTTTCCAGAGGTGGGGTGTTTGTAATTTTCTGTTGTCTTCATGCTATTTATTTCAAATACTTTCTGCTGTTTATCTAAGGAAATGTTTCTTGTTGATTTCTCAGAGCTCTCTAATGTTTGTCACAGAAGTACTGCTCCTATACTATTTAAATACCATTAAATAATACTATTTCAAAATACTAATTTATAAAAATATAGGTGAAAAAATTATTGGTAGTCATGCAGGGAAAGAGAACACCTAATTTACTTTCAGAACAAAACCAAACATTGCAAGCTATTGATTGTAAGAGTGAGCATGGAGGCAGAGTGCGCCATATGGTGTTTGAAATAAATTGGATATTGAATATCATCCTGGTTTTGGCAGGCAAACGGTCAGTTATTTGAATTAACTAATAACAGACAATCTTGATACTGTACAGAAAAAGAGGGATTATTAAATTGAAGTGATAATTTGATCTTTCACAGAAATTCAAACACACAACAAAGTATCTATTCAGTATTAGGCTTTAACATAATTTAACTTCCACAAAGTGGGAGTTCTGCAACTGTAAAACCAAAGAGCATTTTCAAAACGCAGAGTTAACACACAGTTCATAACAAGAAAATGTGGACTATGGTCACATAAGTGGAACGTCTTACCAAGAGTCTTGCTCGAAGACATAGCCCCATTAACTTTTGCTGTTCTTACCCTACTCTCCTCGACTCCTAAACCTCTTGTTGCTGATAAAAGTGATACCCTAAAGGTTTTTGTCTTGATTTTTTTAACATTTAGTCTTTGGAATACAGAAGTCCTTGATAACCTTCCTTACACAAAATTCCTAGAACAAAATCCTGAAATATCATTAGCATTGCATAAAACATGATTTTCTATTACATATCTTCACTGCAGTCCACACCAAAACACTGTTATTTCTCAATCCTCTCGTATTTCATGAATATCTAATGCTGTTTCAAGCCCATATGGTGCAGACTATCTTCAATAATGATCATTTTAAGGGATTTTGAGGTTTTCTCATTAAGTTTGGAGACAGACTATTAAACAAAAAACAGTTTTTACAGAAAGGTGCAATAAGTAATTTAAAATTCATGCATCAAATATGTGAGTGTCAAAATGCTATCAAAGTGTATAGATCCCCTTTTATCTGTTCCCTCCCTCATCGGTGTAACATAATTACTGAAATTAAAAGCCTACCAGTCACATTAATAGGAACCACATCTGTTTGCACTGCCTGGGCTTGTTGTCGCATTTTCTCTTCTGGCGTTGGCAATGGGAGTGACTTAGTCCAGTTGGTTTGGGTGTTAATATCTGATAACTCATTTGAAACTGGAGTTTTAGGCCTTTTGATGGTAATAAGCTTTTCTTCTTCTGAGGAAGAGACGGGACACTACAAACAGAAATACATGCAACAATGTAAGTTTACTACCAAACAAAAAAAAAGGTAGGAATATGGTATTACTAAGGCATTGCCCCTGCAGTCAGCACAATTACTCATGGAGCAAAATATACCCTCACAAATATCACACTTTGACCTACAAAAAGAACAATTTAAAAAACATACAAACAACCCACAATGAAACACCTGGATTGTATTTATCCAAGCCATCTGACCAGTCTAAGGAATGTATACCAATGAGAGAGAAAAGAGTGGTCTTGAGCATAGCAAAGCGCAGTAACTAATCATCTTACACCTTGACATCGTCCCTGGAGTGATTAACCCCTCTCACTACACTGAGGTTTGCCTCTCCTGCCCCCTTCCCTTCCCAGTGCCCTGTTAGGAAGGTGAGATTTGAGCACTGCTTTGCTCCAGCTGTACTGAGCATTATGAGGATGCGTAAGGTCTCAGCAAGAAGCCTGTTACAAACAGACAGATTTCAGGAGAGCTCAGTAAAAGAGCCAGCCAATGCACTCTACAAAATCATCAGCCATGGATCAGTGAGGTAGCACGAATAACTTTGCTTTAGCCTTGGAGAAACTCATGCCACAGTCAAGGGGTTCACTTTGCCCATTATTCGGGGGGAAGCAGTCAACAATATTGGTAGCCATAGAATGGTCATTTTAAGAGTAATTCCTTATCAAAGTGGCAGATTTTACCTCCATGATGGGCATGTCACTAAAAAAAAACAAACCAAAAAACAAAACCCCAATGAAATAAAAAACTTTCTGCACCAGAAAGAGAGGTTGCAACAGCTTGTGCAAATCTTTACACCAGACAAAGTTGTAAGCCAAAAAAGCCATTTGCTTTCGGGGAGCAAAGCTGGTTTTATTACAAGGTCCTTGCTTGCATGGCAGAAAAAGCCATAATGTAGCTTTTTGCTGATAGGACAGTACTAGTCCATGGCAAACCCCGAGGACAGGCAGGTTCAAGGCACGCAGAAGACATGACTGGGGCTTCTGTAGCAGGTGGTCATAAGCTCCAAGCAAACATGGGGGAAGCAGCCTTCTCTCCTCCCCACTCCTGCCAGCAAGGCACCCCAGGGAATCCCAGAAGCAGGAGAGGAAGGAAGATCTGGAGGAAAAACCAACCTCTGCCTCCTCCCGCCGCCAGGCAAAACAAAAAAGAGACAAAAACCATGGAAGAAGAGGTGCGTAGCGGCTGCAGCACTAGCAAAGATCTCTCTGCAACCTCCCGACCCCTCTGCTTCAGGGGTGTTTGCTTTGGGACCTCCCTCACTACCAGCAGACCAGAGTTACAGTCCTCCCCCCCTTTTCTTTATTCCTCTCTCCCTTTGGAGAGCGGAATACTACCCAAAATAGGGTTGTCAGTACTGGATCACTGCCTCTCCCGGTAGTTACTCACTCACTGCTGTACACGGTCATGGAAAGAAACATCACAGCTATTTATAACATATGGATTTTTTATTATTATTATTATTATTATTATGGGGTTTCAGTCTAAGCGATCTGTTTTCTCTTGAAGCTGAGTGCTATACAAAAGACACGCCCAGACACTGTGCTGCAAACACTGTTTATCATTTCTGGGTTTAATTTTCTTCCTGTTACCATGAGGAGTTCCTGCTGTTTATAAATAAATAACCATTTATTTATTCTATTATACTTCGACTCTACATCCTTTAGGACAAGGCCAAACATTTTATTTAATAAAAAAATAAAAATAAAAGCAACTTCCAGGCAAAAAGCAAAAGAATAGAAAAGTAAAATCTCTTCAGGTAATAATAAAAAACTATTTCAGGCAATGAAATTATTACTAATGTCACCCTGCGGTTTGGAACCACACTTTGAAATGTAGGAGCTTTTCTTTGAGGAAATAATCCATTTCTGCCAGTCTTGCATTTCTTTACTAGAGAGGCTGCAGATGGGATAGATGGTGCTCTGTAAGAACGGGCTCAGCCCTGTGAAAGCCCCAGCAATTTTTTCAATGCAAGCTTCTTAGAGAACACCAATATTTTTTCAGGCCTGTATTGTTTTTAAAAGGCTCTAAAACCACTTCTATAAAAATATAATGTGAATGCTTATCTTCTTATGAATGTGTGTACATACACTGTTTATACACAGTGCAGGCACACATATACATATGTACTTACACACAAACACAAGGACTTTCCCGCCTCAAATAGCTCAAATCCATAAAAACCTTCATTAACTTAAGCCATTTGGGAGAGAGATGCCATTGCAGAAGGGAAAGCTGCCTCCAGGCCATGCTTCCCGCCAGTTAGGTTTAAAAACAGCTGAGAAAGGGTTTGTAAGGAATATGGCATGGGTGTGCTAGCCCAGTGTCACGACGGGCACGCGTATGTGCACTTAAAGGAGTTATCGGGGCTGAGGCAAAGAAATACCACTTTCCCCGTTCTACAAAGAGCTTTTCTCCGCCTGAATCAGGGCACCAAGGGAGACACCTCAAGCCTGGTTTTCCAGTTTGTGTGGGGTGAGGATGAGCTCCAGTGACCTTCGCTCTGCTTGGTTGACACTGTCAGCATCAATTTCCGTCACATTCAGGCTACACTGCAGTGCCAGGTCTCAGCTGTCATACAGCAGTCACCAGGGGCTACTCCAATATGTCAAGTGGCAGAGATATTGGTTACAAAGCCACCCTTCCTTTTCAAGGAAATTACCCAAACCATGCAGAACACTTTTTCCATTACAGTATATAAATAGACAGAAGAACTGAAGCATCTACTACAAGGAAATCCTAATTATAAAAAAAAAACGTGGAGCAACAATCACAAGTTTTGCAGAATTAAAAGTTGAGAAAATTGGGGACAGATGGAGGAAGATGGACAGAAATTAATCAGCCTGGTAAGCATATAATGAATGAAAAGCAACTGAAAACCCAGTTGTGCAGTTGAGTTCAAAGCACTGTGCCAGTAAGAATGATTTTCTGCCAAAGGACAGTGGTGTGTACTTATACAAAATAATTCAGTGAAAGAGTTGTGGGTGGTTTTGGGTGTAGGAATAAATGTTGACATTTCATCGGTAGGTATGCTTTCCATGGTTCCTGAAGAAGCATGATGGTCTCTACTTAAATTCTTTCTTCCAAAGTACTCACAATTATAGCAGTATAGGGTTTTTTTGATGTGAGGATACTTTTAACAGCTGTACACAGCTTTATTGCACACAGAAGAAAAAAGCAGCTCACCTTTCAGCTTGCTTCACACAGAAATTATTTAACTCTATAATCAGGATGAAAATAAGGATTTACATATTTTTAGCGAACATTCCCAGGTTTACAACACAGAAGCTTGACAGAAGATGCAGTGAATTGCTGCTGTATAACAGGAATGTCTTCTCAAGTAAGGTCTGTTATATCAGAAATAGAACTGGACCAGGCAGTACTTTGAGATTATGCATCTGCTTAGCAAAGCTGATCATAAACACTATGTTCATAATAGAATAGAAAGCACTTGTCCGATTTTTAAAGCATCTCTGATTCATTACAACTTTATTGCTAGACATAAATGGCCAAATTTCTGCGCAACAGGATGTTACCCTCATCTCAGGAAAATTTGTTGGAATTCATTCTTTTTAATGGACATATGGGAAGAGGGAAAGGTGGGATATAAAAGCAGCAGCCTTGGACGTTGCAGCATTTTCACAAACATGCATTAGAGGGAAAAAAGCATGAACTTTCAAATGGGAGTTGAAATGAGAATCCAAGAGAAAAATGGCCTATAAATACCCTGTAGACAAGCTATATGGCTCAGTAAGCCAGAGCCTCTCCAATGCCTTGTTGACATATTGTCCCCCAGCCTACTCAGCCGCTGAGATACAACAAAAGGGTTTCACCATCTCAGCATATTTACGCTATTTGAGAGGTCCCAGATGACAAGTGAGTATACGCTGTGTTTCTTGCAGCATGCTCTGCCTAAATACACTGTTTATTCTTAATCTTTTTGTATTGCAGGGGTTTATACTACACTGTTTGAAAAAACAAGATGGGACCTCCAGGAGGAAAATTCAATCCATACAAAATTTTACCTTTCAGCAAAGGAACTTCAAACTTCTGGTCATGTCATTTACCTCACTGCCTACTGCAATAACGTCTAAAATTATAATTTATCAGGAAAAAAAAAATTGAGGAAAAAAACCCCAAACCAAATCAGTGTTGTTGGACAGCAGCCATACCAATCCAGCTGTCTATTACTATTTCTTCTTCAACCTTTTATTAGGTTTGATGGCTTCAAGTGCCCTTTTACCCAATGCAAAGGGATCAAGACAAGCAATAACGGGAAAAAAAAATCCCAAGCCCCAAATCTTTACATTAATCTTTCTTGGTCAATTGAGAATGTCATCATGTGCCTGCTTCAACATACAGGGTTTCACACTGTGTTATGGAACACTGCCACATTATAAATTTACATGAATTTGCACTTAAGTTTAATTAGTCATGTCTTGCTCTATTTGGTGTCCTCCAGACCAAGGTCTCCTGTCTAGTTCCCCCAATTTTCATAGAATATTCCCATTTATTATTTCTACACACAGGTCTTCAGTTGCACTAACCAACTTTGCTATCCTACTAAATCCTTCACTTCATAACCTTCACTGTCTCAGTAAAGAGACTTTTCTTTTGTCAGCAGAAATTACTATCAAGCAAGTTATCACCTTAACCAGAATTGCATAAACGTTCCTTTCTTCTTCCTCTACTCTGTTGCAAATGGGATTAAAAACATCAGAAGAGCTGTACTGCATCAGTGCAGAGCTCTAAAAGCCTACCTATGATAATAGCCAATCAATGATATACAGGTGAAATTAAATCAGAGGATGCATACAGTGGATACCTTCCCCTGACTATTCTCTCAGCATTGGATGGAGTCCTCCCCCCACCAAGAATTTACCCAGTTGCCTTCTGAACCCATGTAAACTTTCAGCATCCACAATTCCTGCAGCAGCTGCACAGTGTGAGTATGTGGTGAGTGAAGAATTACTCTCTCTAGTTTGTTTCTGCGCTCACTTCCTTATGCTTTCGCGCTTTATGCTTTGTATTGCTGCTTCAACTCAGCAAACTGAGCAGTATTTTCAAAAACACGCGAAGCAGCAAAATGTACGTGTGCCAATTACAAGAGCATCCCCACGCCACGGCAGCAGAGGGGCAGGGAGGCCAGCTGAGGGAACCAGCGCCTGCAAGTACCTCCAGCTCATGCCCCGGGGCTCCCAGGCATTCCCACCTCCAAACTGGAGGGCACAACTGCTTTAGCCTCTCTTAACACCAAGCAAAATCTTGAATTAGACCTCCTCAAGTCCCTCAAGCCAATACAGTTAACGCATTTGTTTTCACTTAAGATACTAAACAGTCCTGCAGATATTGAAGAGACAACTAACAGTTTGGCTGAGTACAGTGGCAAAAATAGACTCTTTTTCCCCATGAATAAGCAAAATAAGTGTTTTTGCCCCCGAGGCTTAACAGACTGTATCAAGGCAAAGTTCATAAGCTAAATGACAGGACCTGGGGAAAAATACCGTGAGTTTTTGACATACAAACATTTTCATAGATGGAATAAAGACATGATATACTGCATGCCTGGGAGCAACTACTCTCTGTAGCTCACATTCATCAGTTAAGAAAAAAACATTACTCCAAATTAGTAAAGGTTTTCCTTGGCTAATTAAAAACCAATGAAGCAGCCATTTAAATAAAACACAGTGTTCATTGGGGAGGGGTTTCAAAGGAGGCAACTGTTAATAGACAAAAAGGAATTTAAAAATTTCAGTGAACCAAGTAAACAGGATATTTGACTGTAGACAAGAAGGAGTAATGAGGACAAATAGAGGAAACAAACCTGGTATGGCATTCTTCTGTTGAGCAGTTGATTTTTGAATATATTTTTTTTTAAAACAGAAAACAGAAGCAGGTGACAACTGAAGAGCAGAATAACACTGCATATATACTAAATGCTACAAGTAACATCAAGCTGCAGATATGGCAGCTGGATGGTCCCACTCGTGGGCAAGGTACCTTTTTGCTCCAGGGAACCAAGTTACAGCAGGCGCTAATGCAAGACTGAGAGATGCAGTCTAACAGACTAGACTGTTGAGCAAGACAAAAAGAAACACAGAGAATGAGTGATAAAAAGGGAAAGAAAAAAGAATGAGAAAAACACACACACAGAAGACAAATACATTTAATATACACAATGTATCCATTTCAGAACATAAGCAGAACCAGAGTTTGAAAGTGACATCTCAATATATCTTTGACATTCAGAAAACAGACCGATACTGAAGGACAGGAATAGCTCCCAAGTTGCATCACCAACAGTGGTATGTAAGAGATGAAAAAGGGGGACACTGGTCACAGTACTGAGATGTAAAATCCAGATAAACCAGTTTAATCTCCAACAAACTCAATTAGGATCAGCAGAAATACACTGCAGTGGAGCTTGGCCTGTGCTCCATTAACATAACTTGTAAGAATCAACCTAGGAGTAAAAGGGCAGTTCCAAGAACTTCATTTTATATCACAAAACATGAGAACGTTTGTGCATCAAGGTCTCCTCTCGCATCACCTGGCCATGGTTTCAGATTATGGCTCCAGTGAAGACAGCCAAGCAGAATATCTGGCTCCATCTTTTTTAAAACCAGATCAAAACAAGTAGGGAAAAATGGTTTCCTTTGTGAAATCACCATGCAGCAAAACATAGGTTTTCTGCAAGGTGGCAATTATGTCAACTTAGAAGCAAATTTCCCAACAGTAAATAGCTATCCATCCATCCACCATTATTCTGCTGTTCTCGAATTTCAACTATTAAGTACTGGATGTACAGAATTTAAATGTTGGCTTTTTTGCTTTGAATAGACAACAAAGCTACAAAGCTTTCATCTAGTGGTGAGGAGTTCACATTTTGAATCATGGGATTTTGGTGACCCCAGTTCCACACTGCTGCTGAAGAACTCTTCTGACAGCTGAAATATGACTCGCTCAAGGCGTAAGACTTACTAAAATTACTTGGCACTTTACCAGTGGGATTATAATTCAAATTCAGAGATCTGCTGTGGTAAGCGTTCATTTAAAAAAAAAAGAATAAAAATTTAGGCCATTACAAAAAAAGCAGATTAAACAAAGATACTGGTCAAAGGACACCACTAAACACTCAGTTGTACAATATGAAGGGAGAATCATGCTACCTTTTACAAGGGATTAATGCCTCTCTGAGCTGCAAATAAGAGCTGCAGGGTTAAGGTTAAGGTTCTGAGATAATCAGTAACATCCAAGACTGTCAGTTTGGCAACTATCTTTCTCCACAGCTCTGAATCATCCTTTCAGCTAAAAATATTTAAAGAAAACTATCCAATTTGAAATGGAAGTGCTATCCTATCCTTGAAGCATAATTAGTTGCATTAATTTTTTTCAGAATGCACAGAAATTGTTAGTAACACATTATGTTAACACTCCAGAAAAACCTTAACCATGATAAGGATGACCACTCTTAGTCTCCAAGAGGCCTCACCCATGCTTATATGCTTTCATTTGAATTGTTTTTATATTTTTTAAATGTTACATTAGTTTTACATGTGCAGATGGTCATATGCTGCACAGCATTGGCTAAGACTAGTTGATAGCATATATGTATGCATATATATGAAGTACATTAATAGCAACAAACAATGTGTTAATACTTTCCCCAGTGGAAATCATAATTCCACTGATTTCAGCGAGGTTTTTCAAATTATTATTATAATGCATTCCACAGTATGAATGTGCTTTACATTCTCTGCTCACTGCCAGTACATACCACACACAGCTATACAAGATGCTCTAACATTCCCTGCCAATACACAGATATAATGCAATTGCCACCTGGATGAGAGAGTGTCCGTATTCCATGACACCTTTCATTATGTGATTAAAAACCATGGAGGACAGAACTGAAAACACTGTACCCTTTGAAGCAGACCCTTTCAGAATCTACACACTTTGTATAGAGACAGAGTTATTTAGTCCATGCTACAGAGGCACATATGGTTTAGTAAGGATTCAAAGAAATTAAACTGCATTACAATCAAGGTTATCCTCCCACTCTCTGAGCAACAGTTGGTGGCAAAGTATTCTGGAATTATCTATCTTGAAAACCCCAGGAGCTCCAGCATTTCGGGTTTGGACAGCCAGGCTCCAGTTCATCTTGCTGTCCACCCCAGCAGTGATGTCGTTTCCCCCAGCACCAAAGTTAGCTTCTCTTTCAGAGCTCACAAGTAACACAGGGTAAGATAACGACAGAGGAGAAAAAATTCTTTTCTTCTTTAGAACACTAATGCAACTTACTAGTTCTGTAATTGAAGCATACATAAATTACTGTATAAATAACAATACGTCTTGAAAACTTTCTTAGGATTTTTGCTCAACTGTCCCTTCTCTTTGTTTAATTAATTTCTAGATTCTAAGCTAAGCATACACGGAGTTGAGATGTGGGCATATAAACATGAAAACCATGAAGCAAACTGAAAAGAAAGCTGATAAACCTAACTCAGTGGGCAATCTTTCATTCTTCTGGATGCCTTTATGCAAACAGTTGTGACGCATTAGGACAAAGCCTCTACCTAATGAAACAGCATAACTGCCTGTATTAGCAATTCAAAGTGTGTACATGTTGCTGTTACAGTTCCAGTACACTGATGGCTGGCTAATAGCTCTTCCTGCTATTTGAGTGTCAACACTTAACAGATTCAAAACAGCTACCCTTGCTCGGGTTTTCCCTCCAGAACATTACCAAACTCCTTCTGGCTTTCACACCTTTATTTTGCCAGTGGCAACTTTACATAAACGCATGGGTAGAACTGGGATTTTTAAGAGACTACAGAAGTCAGACGACCTAATATCACTGTAATTCAAAGGAATATGCATCTTTACGATGTTCTAAAAATCCTACCTTATTTGAACAATGTTAAGGCAGGTAATTAAACTGCACTAGGCATGTATTCTTTCCAGCACTTGGCCCCTACACCATTACCTTTTGTTCAATTTCTTCATAATCATCCTGGTAACTTCCACAGATTGCGCTGGAGGACGAGGAGAAGGTAGGGCCCTGAGAGTAGTACTGTGAGCTCCGGTAGCCATCCCGACGCAGCTTGTCACACTCTGTCAAAAGACAGAGAAAGAGGAGATTAATTCATGACAAGAGCCATTACTGTTTACACTCCGTGTACAATGGAACTGACAAAAGTACTGAATATTTTCTGAAAACGTTTACCATGTGTCGTGGTTTAACCCCAGCCAGCAACTAAGCACCACGCAGCCGCTCACTCACTCAGAACACAATTAACTCTATCCCAGCTGAAACCAGGACACCATGCATTAGCGTTGTCTGTCCCAAGTAACAGAACCCGAAGGTGCATTTCTCATATTTGCATCTGTATTTCCCCCTCCCTCACATATATCATATCCATAAGCCCACACACCATATATATACATGGCTTTTATTTAACCCAGGAGATGGCTACAGCTTTGGAAGGAAAGGGGAAATGGATTTATTTGTTTATTTATTTATTTATTTATTTAAGTGAGGCCTGGCTCCGTGTCTTGACAGATGGCAGCATCTTGCAGGATGGGAGACGGAAGCGTGTGAGTAACACCGGGGGTCTCATTTGCCAGGCCGGTAGACATCCATTATGTGCCTTACACTTGAAATGATGATGTTGCTCACTACTCAAGCACCATCTGCTAAATAACTTTGGCACTGACCACTTGTCTTGTCTTCCTACCCACGGAAGAGACCATTTATTCTGATTTTGGAGAGAGGAATGCAAATCACAGGGATCTCAAAATCTCACGTCACTGCAGAGCACGTGTAGTTTAATACTGAAGAAGTTTCAAAGTTCTGAAAGAATTCAGAACAAACATGCACCCCACTCGAAACAGCCAAAATCCCAGTCAGCATCTCATCCCTCTCACCCAAGTTTTCCACAATCATCTTCCCGCCTCCTAATTGATATTCAGTGTGATTGTGCTAAAGAATAGCAGACGCCAGAGCATAAGGAAAAATTTAATGTTCAAATGCGGCAACCAAACTCATCAGCCCAGTCAAACTGTTAGCTTTACATTTCCAGAGACAGATATCTCAATCTGTTGAAAGATGAGGAAAGCAAAAAGAAAATTAAGTATTTCGTACATTTCTGTCTAAGGAACTGAAATTTCTGCACAATACACAGGCATTATCATGACACAAAGTGCTTTTATCATCACTTGCTGGAGAAATACCTTCTGTGACTGTATCATCTGTCTCCCTATCTTGATCTTTTGAATACCCCTTAAAATGGAAAACATGCAATGTTTATATTGAGGGCAAGGTTTTAGAGAGGCTTTTGCCTGACAAATGATTAAGTAGAGTTAGAATTTGCAACTCCAGCATACATTTCCTCTGTTATCCTCAGCTGCTTCTGAGACTGAGGTCTGGAGGATTCTGTGCCGATGGGTTAAGTGACCTTGAGCAACCACAGCTCTATGAGGATTTAATCAGTACAGACTCCCCTGTATCTGCACATGCACATCAAGAAGGCAAGCTTACAGTTTGACAACTAGCCATTTCCATCAGAGCCAAATGTACGTCCTCGTCTATCACGTGTTTCTGTATGGGGTCAAAAAGGGCAGTATGGCATGAGCCTGTTAGTTCTCTCTCAATTCGAGGACCAAGGACGGTGGTGGTGGGTTTTGAGATCCAGATCAATTGCTACATCTCAGGAGCAGAGGGTTTACCTGTTTCGCACATGCGAGCATGCTGACACTGCATGCATCTGGCAAACAGCTGCTGTACTTCAGGAGGGGGTGGAAAATGACTGCCAGCAACCGCAGTAAAACAAACTCCTCCACCGCCCTTCCAAATCTGGCACTGGATCCAGCCAGATCCAGCACATAACACTCACAAATGTGAGCACCCTGATGGGCTGGCTGTTTGTTGGTCTGAGCTACAAATCAACAGGATAAGCGGGCTGCGGCAGAACAAGACAGTCCAAAGACTTGCATCAACTTGTACCGTAGGTTAACACGCTAAGTTGTCAACTTTAGACACTGCAAGTTTTACCTTCAGATCAGCCGCTAATCACCACAAAGATGAATACAACTTCAGGGGTATGTAAGAATGCAATTATTTTTTCCTCCCATTCTTGGGTTAATGCCCAGGGTCCTGGCTGGCCACACCTGAGACTCTCCAACACCAGGCATCGTGGCACAGCCCAAGGGCGATGGGCTCTTCCAGAGCATGATAGACACACGCTCTGATGTTAACTGCTTGACCTTATTTATTCTCCTAACGAAGGAGAGGAAGATGATGAATAGTGCACTTCATGAAGCCCAGAAGAGCTCCAAAAACTTAAGGACGCCAACACCGAAGGTCTCAAGTCCACCGCAAGTTCAAGTGAACTGACAATAAAAAACTGGCAGTTTATCAAGCTCACAACTGCCATTTGTCCACAACACAAGATCCCTGTAACATCAGAAACTATTGCAGCGACGTTGCTGAAGAAGCCAAGAGAATTGCTACAAACTGCCAGGTGAACCACACCAACGAAAAGGTGATTTGTCCTTAAGAACAGCTTTTCTATATACATTTTGCAGCACAGCAGGAAACACACACCACGGATGGCACCCGAGGCCAACAAACCTCAGCAGAGGTTTTAGGCAGATACCTTTTACTTCACACTGCAACGGCCCACAAGTGCAACACAAGCACAATCACTGCGTCTAACTGAAGCTACTGCCACTGCCAGACCAAGGGTGGCAACTTCTGTTTAAAAACTGTTCTAGCTGGAGGCAACCCCCGCAACCTCATCACTATTATTAAAGGTGCACATGGTCTTCTGTAAGCAATCATGTTTGTGTTTTTCAGATAAAAGGGTTTTATTTATGTAAAAAATACCGATGAGGAAGCTAGAAATACTTGCTCTAGGAAAGAGTAAGTAGGAAAGCTGCTCTAGGAGAGCTCTCTTCCCTCCCGCTGAGTACGTGGGGGAACAGGCGAGCACCAGCAGCACCACGCTGAGAGCGAGGGCTCAGCCGAGCTGACTGCCATTCTGCACCAGAGTTCTGAGCCACAGGCACTGAATGCAGCGCTGCTGTGAATAACTCTACCTCTCCGTGTAAAATCATATGGCCTCTGTGACAGGCAGTCAGGCCATGCATATGAAAATACTTCCAAGGCCTCCCAGCCCAGACCTCCTCTCCATTTAATACGAGGAACTCACATGGAATTGCATCTGACCCTGAGCCAATAGCACACAGCACCAAGTCTCACACACAGAGGCGATTTACTGCTTTTCCAACAACTTGAAACAGGATTCTTACATGGTAATTTGAGCCACAAATCACCAGAGTGAACAGAAGGCACAGCACTGATACCTCAGTAATTCGTCTGACATGGTATTACCATGGAAAACCAGGATTAATGTTTACCTTGTCTGCTTAGTCAGACCTACACACTGCACTGCTCTGCAATGGAAGAAGGGCTGGGTTTGCTGGGAGGGCACAGGATGAGTTGGCTCTTTCCTCTCCTTTCACCAACTTGAGTAACATTTCATACCTGCCGAGCTTCCTACCACTAAAACTAGTCGCAGTATCTTCAAGTTTATATGAAGGAAAACGCATTGCCTTGCCAGCAGCAGAACTGGTCAGGGGGAGATGGATTCATGGTTGTTTTTCAGAAGTTTTCCATGAATTTTTTTTTTTTTTTTTAATCGTAAATGATCTGTATAAGACTAGGTGCCACTTTTCATGAGGTTCTTCCTAAAACTGTTCTTCTGCCTGCCAGGGTCGGGGCACCCTGTATTGACCTGGCAGCAGGCAGAAAGGCTCCAGGGTGCTGGTTTTCAGGGCTGGATCCCATCTGAGCCTGGGCCATCTCCCCAAGGTGCAGCCCCAGCGGCAGCCCAGAGGCACAGCTTTCTGCCACCACCCTGGACCAGTCCTCCACGCCTCAGGCCTGAACTCGTAACCATCACTCCCTAAATTAGCCCTAATGAGATTACTCATATAAGTAAACACTGCCCACATGACTGTTGCAGGATCAGGCCTTAAGCTCTGTAGCCATCTACATCCACAGGTACACACTCAGACATACTCTCACAAGCATGTATTAAACAGTTTAATATTAAAAAAAAATCCACTTTTCTGTGTTTCTAAGTAGTTATTAGTAACCAGTAAAGACACTGGTTAAAGAATTAAACTACCACAATATTTACAGGTATAAACTTAGAAAATCAGCATCAAGGTTATTCAGACATCTGAATAGCTCCGACTTGCTTAGCATAACTAGCCATCCTCCTGGATGGGTCAAGCAATGAAAGACTGAGAGACAGTGTCCCAGAAACACCTGAATTTGCCTCGTTTCCAAGAACAGCACCTGGAACTCGAGACCAATTGCTAAAACCCAAAGAGAGAATGCCAGTCAGACCAGCAGCAAGTTCCTGGAGGAGCAGAGCTGCCCAAAGCCACCGAGACAGAAACCCCCGCTGCAGAGAGAGAAAGGGGAAAGACCAGCACACGCTTCGCTTGCCTTTGCGCCATCCCCTGTTGTCTCCTCGTCAGCAAGAAGGGACAAGCGATGAGCTGACAGCTGCATCTGCATGCTTGAAAAATTATCTCAGCTAAAGTCACGGTGACTTCTTGGCAGAGCCTTTCATGTTGTAACTTGTATTTTACAGAGTGAGATTTTTTCTTTTTTTTTTTTTTTTTTTTTTTTTTTGTACTAGAGAGAGGCTATAACTGCAAGAGTCAGCTAAACTGTCAACTACAGAAATAAATCTGCTGACTAGTATATTAAAACACATTTATCCATTCACTGCACATATCACTGGAAAACTGCTCTACTCCCTGAGGTCTGAAATCTTTTTTTTTCTTTAATCTTCAAACATTGTAGCCAAGTCCTTCCTCTGTAAATACCCACAAACCACATTCCTCCCTAAGTCACAACTACAAACACTATCTTACAAGTAGCTTTTCAAAATTTCACCTAAAACCAGACAGACTGGAGTACAATACACATTCATCTGGTAAAAGCGAACTTTTAAAAATGACCCATTACTTTATAGGTCATGTTGCACTTTAACAATTGCAATATATACGGTATCACTGCTTTTTGTTTTATTAGA